TGTTTAGCCTAAAAAACATACACATTTATTGTTTGGACGGACCACTGCTCTAAGTTTCTTGCAAGAAAGATAGCCCAGAAATTGAATCAGTAACACTGACTTCAGAAGCTGACTAATGTTAAGCAATCAACAGAATCTATGTTCAACCCTTCAATACTACTTTGGAATGACTTCCAGAAATGAGTATCCCGCCTTCTTTAAATAGCACAAGCAAATGGCTAAAGATTTTACAATAAAAATACAATATCTATTTCAAGGTTCAAGATATTTAAATGCGTTTAATAGCCCCGGGTTTATGAACACATGAGTTCACATGACTTAACGGCGGAGATATAATGATATCTTAACAACTACAAGAGCATTGCATGCTGTTTACCTGGTAATTGCCAGATCTTAAGCAGCTATGAATTTGACTGTAGGGAGTTGATGGTTGTGAACTACTCTCAGAAGGTGCAAGAACTCCACAGGCTTGACAGTAACCAGCTAGCCTCTTTTCATCTATCATGCAATGAAGTGATGAGCCAATCTAGAAAATACAGTGTTATCAAAGTTATAAAAATGTAGTAAACACTTCCAACATTTTATTCAAGGCAAACACCTTTAACAGACACTTATTTATCACACTGTGATAATTTTCCAAGAATCATTACAATTTTGTTATTGTTACCAGTATTTGCCATCCTTTTTTTAAAAATATGTCAGCTCAGTTTACAACATAGTATAATTTTATTATATAAAAATTTAAAACATCCTATTTAAAAAAGAAACATCACAATAATGGCAAGATTACTGGCTCAAGTTGAACAAATGTCTTTGATTTATCTTCTAATAATTTGAGTATCAACCAGTTTTATGAAAATTCTTAAAATTTGCAATGAAACTTCTAGATGGGTTTCCATTTTATGTAAAAACAGATTTCATTTGCTATTTAACTTGTTACTCACCTTTAAAATCAATTCCTTGGTTCTAAAAAATTTATCTCTGGCATTCCTATATAAATCAAAGTTTGTGGAACCCTGCTGGAAATAGATGGCCCCTAAATCATAGCATACCTGAAACAGACCAAAATAAATTATAGCAGGACTTTTTAATCCCTTTTGGAATCCTTAAAAGTAATGCTAAAGCAACAATTAAATGCAGAGAGACAAAATCCCTGCACTACACACTATATTAAAGAGGTGCTTTCCTTCTCTTTCCAAACATTTGCAAATAAATCATCCTTGAAACAATACAATTGTAAAACTGAATATTCTTCATGTTTTCAAAATACTGGAAAGCTACACTAACTCTGAATATAGAATGTCACGGTTGGCTGATGACACCATGAATTGTTTCAAAATGAATTTCATTTTATGAATCCATATTTAAAGATAGTCCTCAACTTACAACAATTACAACTGGAATTTTGATTGCTAAGTAATGTGGTTGTTAAACAAGTCATTTTTACAACCATTTTTACTATGGTTGTTAAATGAATCATGTGGACATTAAGTGAAACAAGCAGCTATTAAACAAATCATGTGGTCATTAAGCAAATCTGGCTTCCACAATTGACTTTGATTGTTCGAAGCTGGTGACTGCAAGATGCTGCAACTAATACATTAAGCAAATCTGGCTTCCACGATTGACTTTGATTGTTCGAAGCTGGTGACTGCAAGATGCTGCAACTAATGTAAATGCAAACTGGTTGCCAAATGCCCTATTTAGTGACAGGCGTAATTTGAGGACAGCTCATAAATCACTTTTTCCAAGTCTGTCATTAACTTAAAATTATTGTTACACAAACTGTCGTAAGTCGAGGACTATCAACATCATTGTCAGACAAAACATCAACCTACTTGGCATTGCATTTCCTCAGTGCTAATACTTAATCCGGCTGTAGAACTCTCTGTCTCTCCATTAACCATACCAGGTTCCATAGCTAGCAGATCTAGCGTCCGTATTGTGTGAATGTAAAGATCCTTGTTTAATTTTAGTGCTCCTTCTAACACCAGAATGGAATCAGCAGCCTGCTCTTTTAGCTGGAACAACCAGGAGGAATGTAAATGTTGAATTATTAGCACCCGTTTTGATTACTTAAGATAAATATCTACTTCTCTAGTTCAAGCTACATCAAATTTCACACTAACAATCATTCCCCTTTCAAAGATCTCACATATTTAGTTATCATCAAATAATAACCATTTAATATTCTCTGAGCTCAGAATGAGAAAGCTACGGTAAAGTCTTCACCCTGTAATTGGATGAAAAGGCAAGTCTCTTTATAATGAAAATTTACTTTTTGTAATGATTTTTGTTTACAGATATTTATAAAGCAGTTCCTTTGTATCAAGTATAGGTAACCAAATATCCTACAACATCCACAATGTCCTGCCAAAGAGAAGAACATCTGGTTGCTAACCTTGCAATAGATGTATTTATGAATTATTTTAAATCTTTCCCTGTTAGGAAATATGATTTAAAGATAAACAGATCAACTTGGTGTTATGAACAAGAAAATATAATTATATTTCTCTGAAATTCAAGAGGTAAGCAATTATTTCTATTACCACTAATATGATTCAGATTTCTGAATAGCAATTTGTATAATAATAATAATAATAATAATAATAATAATAATAATAATAATAATAATAATAATAATAATAATAATAATAAAATAATAATAATAATAATAATAAAAATAAAAAAAAAGTTGGAAGGGACCTTGGAGGTCAGATTACCCCCCTCTATTAATACTAATCAGATAGACCTGCTGGAATAAACTGCAACTAGTTTGTGACCTATTTCCTTGCAAAACATCCTTATTCTATCTTATGATGTTATTCTTCCCTATTGTATGATTTAAGTCAAAAGGCTAAGAGTATAGTACATTCTTTCCTGAAATAATTTTCTCATATAAACTTCAAAATTCAACATATCCAATGGAGCTGGAGTTAGAAATAAGATGCTCCAATTTTCACAGTAAAGATATCAAATGCCATTTTTATATGAGAAAGGTCTTAACTTTAGCACTTTTCTTGATTAATTGTATCAACTAACTTGTAATTGTGGACAATTTAATGAAAAGCTCTTACCACTTTCAAAATGTTATCTGTGACTTCCTTTTCTTGTTGGAACTGATTCATACTAAACAAAAAAGGCAAAAGCAATTGTGGGTTATTATTCAATGCAATATCAAGTTATTATGCTATTTAGATTTCCAGTATACCTCGTGTGTTCAGCATACAACAGGTACAGTTTGGTCTAGTTAGTAGTTAAAAGCATCAGGATAGAAACCAGGATATGGTGATTTCTAATCCCACCTTAGGCACAAAGGCAGTTGAGAGATTTTGCACCAGTCATTCTCTTCCAGCCCTAGGAAGAGGCAAAGCAAACCATTTCCAGAATCTTGCCAAGAAACTGCAGGGACTTTTTAGGCAGTCGCCAGGGGGTCAACACTGACTCAAATGCACAAATGGATGCATAAATAAATAAGCAACAAAATATGCTTTTCCTCACATTGTTTTAAATAAACCGCATTTCAAGATTGAAAACTGAATCATTTAAGGTTTAAGCTATTTGAATAATTTTGCCTAAATTGTATTTGTTCTAAAAGAATCAGAATTATTTTATATAAATGTGCTATAGTCAGGGATTTTGTCCTCTTTCCACTAAAAATCTTTTAATACATACTTTAAGTATCAAACAAGTTTTATATTATTTTGTTTGGATCCTGATTTAGGTTTAGACTAAAACAGATGGACAGACTTACACATTCAACTGAGGTGGGCCAGGTTTTGCTAGTCTGACAGGAAAACTACTGTTGACTATGGTTCGGATAGCCCTATTAAAAAAAACAAAAAACTGTTAGCACTGAATAGTGAATTATTCTGATATCAGCATTATTTATTGGGGCTTATTTCAAAAATTAAAGCTAGGACAAATATGACAGCAAAAGGTTGACTTAAATGTAACACACTGGAAATATTGATTTCACTGATTCTTCAATCTTCTAGTTGAGATCACATTGGAAAAAAACAGGGCTTAACTTCAGTTTATCAAATGTTTAAGTTGTCATTTTAATGAATCAGTATCTGTAATCAATTGATGCTCTAAACAATTTCATAGGAAGAGACATTGGAAACCAGCTACCCAATTCACAGCTTATTCCTTTGCCAGGCTAAAACAGCATGCAAAAGGAATTACTGATTTATTGGTATGACAGCTAATCAAAAAGAAAAAAAATGCTATCTAGTGTGCACATATCACTTATAAACTTCACAAGCAGAATAGGATTTATTTGACCTTAACATTTCCTTCTAGTAAGAATATTAAAGAAAATAAAAACTTACCATCTATTGTAGAGCAATATAGCCATTGCAGTGGTTGGAGGTAAACAGGCAAGGTCCATATCTATATGTTTAGTTCCAGGAGGAACCTTACTGATGCACAGCAATTCATTTAATAGCATGTTCAGTACAGGAACAGATAAACTAAAAGAAAAAAAAAATAACTGAAAGTACATAGATCAGCTCTTAATTTTGTTATGGAATATCACCAAACAAAAGCCATTAAGGTTCCAATGCAGTCTTTTTGCTATTTTTACTGCACATCTAACCTGCAAGCTGGAAACCAGAATAGCAAACATCTTTCCCAGCTGTTCTCCTATGCGGGTACAAACTACATAATAACTTACTTTTCTGATTATTCATCATGATTACCAGTGATCAATCTGTCTTGAGACTGAATTTTTAGTTTATGTGACTTTGAAATGGAAACTTCAAAATACTACTTACTTAAGCAATGTGAAAATTAATACTTTTTACTGTGACATAATTATCTGTAAACAATCTTATCCAAGAAATCAACTAATACCTTTTATCCAGTACATCCAAATTCCACTTTAAATGTGCAGCAACTTTTAGAGCAAGTAATTTTAAAATGCGATTTCTCTTATTATCAGGGGGAGGCTGAACTTGATTCTGTTCGTTGACTAAAGGCTTGGAAGCCTGCTCCAAAAACTGAACAATTAGTTGGACTGGTGAAGGATCTGCCAAGAAAAAAAAAGGTTTAAAATATGCACTGTATATTAAAATATCACTTAGGAAGAAGCAAATAAATGAAAAATAAACAAGCTACTTTTAAAGAAACATATATAATTTTTGTCTAAAAAGAAATTTTAGTGAAATGATTGATGTCATTGGTTTTACTGTCATTTCCTGTATCATTGTCATATTCAAGCGTAAATATGTATTTATTTTTATGTATACTAGTACACATAAAAAAATCCAAATACATTATGTGATGTGGACCTTGAATAAGATTTAAGTGCAGTGCAAGTAAGGATCAGCAAAAACCTACTACTACTTTTGCTTCATCATTGGATAAAAGAATCTACAAAATTTAATAACACCCACAGAAAATGCAATCACACTCCTTCATCCTCTGCAATAATGAATGAAAATAAAAGTTTTAGCTTTGAACAACATCATTATTTACCAGGATAAGCCTTTTTCAGGTGTTTCTCCAGTAGAGACTCTTCTAGCAGGAACTCAAACCAGGAAGTCTGAGGGGGGGTGCAGGGTCGGCTAGATGTGGCTGCCTCCCGATCAACAGCTTCTACACTCATCTTCCTTTCTTGAATTCCTTTGGATTTCTTTGAGCAATCCTTTGGGCAGGGACCCTGATTTAGAAACAACATAGATTATATCAGAGCATAATTGCTTTACAAATATAAAAGTTTAATTGCAGATCTTTTCATTCAGACTGGATTTTACAGTCCAAATATGACAAATTGGGATCTTGTATCTAGAGAAACTTTTCATCCAATTTACAAGTCAGAATTTTCATAATAAACAGAACAGAAAAACCAAATGTACAGGTATAGTATAGGGGGTACCTTGCTCAATAGTAGCAACCGTGAGAGGGATCTCGGAATACTAGTGGACAATTACTTAAATATGAGCCAGCAGTGTGCTGCAGCTGCCAAAAAAGCCAACACAGTGCTGGGCTGCATTAACAGTGGGATAGAATCAAGATCTCGTGAAGTATTAATATCACTTACAATGCCTTGGCAAGGTCACACTTGGAATACTGCATTTAGTTTTGGTCACCACGATGTAAAAAAGATGTTGAGACTCTAGAAAGAGTACAGAAAAGAGCAACAAAGATGATTAAGGGACTGGAGGCTAAAACATATAAGGAACTGTTGCTGGAATTGAGTATGTCTAGTTTAACGAAGAGAAGGACGAGGGGGGACATGAAAGCAGCGTTCCAATATCTCAGGGGCTGCCACAAAGAAGAGGGAGCCAAGCTATTTTCCAAAGTGCCTGAAGGCAGGACAAGAAGCAACGGATGGAAACTAATCAAGGAGAGAAGAAACCTAGAACTAAGGAGAAACTTCCTGACAGGTAGAACAATTAACCAGTGGAACAAACTGCCTCCAGAAGTGGTGAATGCTCCAACACTGGAAGTTTTTAAGAAGAGACTGGACAGCCATTTGTCCGAAATGGTATAGGGTTTCCTGCCTGAGCAGGGGGTTGGAATAGATGACCTCTAAGGTCCCTTCCAACTTTATTATTATTATTATTGTTGTTGTTGTTCATTATTATTAGCTTTCATATGACTACAGCTTCCTTGGCAATCTTTTTTCCATCTTTCTTTTTGGTGTACGTTAAGAATGAGCTCAAGAAAAAATACTCAATTACTCAATCAAAAAACAAATTCAGAATAGTGATTAAAATGAACGGAAGGAAAAAGAAAAAAATATTCATATAATACAAAAATAATACAAAACTATCATTTATTATAAATCTAGACCATATTGCTCCACATTTTACTAAATATATTTTAAAAATTGATAGGGAACACATCTCTTGAATTCTTTCTGTTTGCTATCTATATAGAATATTTTTTATTATCAAAACCCAGACTTGACAAGCCAAACTCTTCATAAAATACTAATTCCATAATTTATGAATATAATCCAGCATCACATAATCCAGCATAATCCACACACATAAACTGTTATATTTTCACCAAGTTATGTTAACATATATAATTATTTGAAGCCAAAAAAAGACCATGGATATGATCAAATCATAAGAGTTGTAACATTAACACAGGGCATCTGATATCCATTTTTTAAAAACATTATTTGAGGAGTCCAATAATGATTAATTATGATGAATTAACTTCATTTCTAGATGTTTGTGTGCTCAATTAGTGTTCACTCCAGTACTGCGTGAATTAGTCCTGCAATTTTTGTAGCAAGGTTTTCAGAAATGGCTTGCTATTCCCTTCTTCCAAGGGCTGAGAGATTGATTGGCCCAAAGTTACTCAGCTGGCTTCATAGCTAAGGTGAGATTAAAACTCAAGTGTCTTCTAGTTTCTCACCTGATGCCTTAATCATTATATTAAACCAGGGGTAGTCAACCTTGGCTCTTTTATGACTCGTGGACTTCAACTCCCAGAATTCCTGAGCCAGCTGTGCTGGCTCAGGAATTCTGGGAGTTGAAGTCCACGAGTCATAAAAGAGCCAAGGTGACTACCCCTGTATTAAACTGATACCACCACCACCCCACCCAGATGATTAGAAGTGTATTTTACGTTTCTTAAAATCTGGATCCATCATTTTTCCAAAATCAGATATTCCAATTTCTCATTTCCCCATATATATTTGCAATATTAAGCTCTATTCCTTTCAGTTTTGTGTAAAATGGGATTGATTTAATTTTCTTTGCTAAACACTTCATATACACAGTACCCAATACAAATTTTCTCTTAAGCAAAAGCCAGATTTGACCCAACCAAAAATGAGGCTATTTTGGGAAACTGGAGGCAGAACTTCAGAAGAAAATAAGTAAGGTGCAGAAGAGAAAGAGCTACCAACCTTCTCCTCCTGAAGTGGAATTTTGAGGAAAATAGGTAATAACAATTGAATCAAAAAGGGCATCTGATTTAGGGATAGCCTATTCTAGAGGAACAGGAAAGGGACATATCTGCACTAATTTAAATATTTATTTTATATCTCTGTATGATTTATGTTAGTGTATTTTTCTATCAATTTGAACATAGCGTATGAATTGCGTCTTCCGGAGTGCTGAAATGCTTACATTTACTTTTATGTGCTCAATTGGATCTGGTTCATTGTTGCACTCCCAGAAAAAGCCAGGCATGAGAATTCGGGAAGTTGAAGTCCAAGCACCTTAAACTGGCCAAGTGTGAAAAACAATGACTGAAATACACGAAATGCCCCATCCTTTCAGAGCCACGGCCTGCCCCATCAGAAGAGCACTCGTGATTGCTCCTGGTTCTCCTTGTTTATGTGAAAGCAAATGCCTTGTTATGCATGTAGTTCACCTACTCAAACACACAATACAGGTAAGAAAAGTCACTTTTCCCCCCTCTCACCTTTTCTGCACCTTGATCCTCTCGCAGACGGGGCCCCCACCAGCAGCGAGCGCCCTGCCTCCCATCAACCAAAATGGACGACGCCTTCCTCGCCCCCTCTCCTACCTTCCTGGCTTCGGATAGGGGAATAGGCAGCTTTTGCTCCGCCTCCGTTCCTCGATTCTGACCAGTCAGAATCGGAGGGCCGGACGCTTATGTGTTTCGTCGTGGGCCGCCTGCCGCCTTCTCGTTCAGCAAAGAGCGTAACTTACGCTTTTTGCGCAAGATGATCCCGAGGTAGTTTTGAAAGAGTTGGAGTGTGAATTAGCTGATCAGTCGGAGTATTTTTTTTTTCTTTTTGTGCAAAGGCTTTTTGCAAACTTCTGCGACATGGGCTGGGTTAGCACCCACGCTAGGCTAAATTATGATTATCTCCTATGTTCAGTAAACTATTTACTGCGAGGATATAGCATTAGATAAGATTTTCTGGGCCTTTGCTACGGTGAGTTATTGTGGCAAATAAAAGTGAATGTCTGTTTTCATACCTCTTAAATGAGGTTGGCTGATCATCACTCAACTTTATGTTAATTATGATTTAAGGTTTACTGTGTTGGGCAATTATACACAATATTTACAGTCAATAATCCACGATTATTTTTTTTATTTAGAGCAGACTTTCTCAACCTTAGGAACTTTAAGGCATGTAGACTTCAATTTCCCGAATTCGCCAGCCAGCATGGCTGGCTGGGGAATTCTGGCACTTGAAGTCCACGTGCCTTAAAGTTCCCAAGGTTGAGAACACTAATTTAGAAAATTTATAGGGTAGCACACCAACTCTTACAGTGACTCTAGGCTGCTTACAAAAAAAAATATAGTTAAAATGGTCTTGAAAGCTTGAAGATTCAACAGGTGGTGATCTCAGTCAGATTTAGTCTGTGAGCAGTTTGGATATGGTTGTTACAGTGCTTACATTGGATTTCTCCATATGGGGGACTAAGGACTAGCCTGAGACTCTTGAACTAAAAAAAAGGTAATGGCAATCCACTTCCATAATACTGTGACGAAAATCAAATAGATATGTCTCTGAGTTCACCAGCGACTTTACTTAAATAAATGTCTTCATGTGACATGTAAAGCTGTCTCTTGATATTTAAAATGGGGATTCCTGCCTCAGCCATGCTAATCGTAGTGCTTGTTGACTTAGGTGGGTGAACTAGGATTTGATAAACTGCAGAAGACTAAGATGGCTTCACTTCTCATGCTGCTTTCATCTAGTAAGTGAATGGAGATTTGTATTTGCTGGTTTATATTTGCTCACTGTATGCTACAGTGGTTCAGGTGCTTGGAAAATTAGCAAACCCAGTTTTACATTTCCAGGCGGCAATAGAGTCAACATCACATAGGCATGTGTGTGTTCCTGTGTG